GGTGCTCGCCCAAGCGTGCGAGGGTCAAAGGCCGCGGCTTGAGAATCGGGGCGGGCGGGCGGCCGAAAACTCCTGCCATCGACGAATACAAATTTTCGGAGCCCTAACCTTTTGAGCCGCTGCTCGTTCGGCGTTAATGATCCGTGTCGCATTTTTTTCTTCTTCCTCAAACTTTCTGTCGGTCCACCTGCCCCCTAGCCATTAATGATTGACAGTTTATACGACGGTGACTGGCTGCCTCTCGAGAGAGGGCTGAGATTTTTTTTCACTTCGCGTCATTTGCCCATACCTTTGACTCAGAGTCATTTCCGCTCGGATGTTGATTGCTTGAAGAGCGCACCTTGAAAAAAAAACATGACCAATCCCCCCCCTAGTCGCTTGGAGCGACTATTTAAGCTGGGATGGAGGGGGGAAGAGCGCCTTGACAAAATAATTTGCATATCAAGACAGACCTGTTCTCCACCTGAAGACGGCTGCTTGCGTTGTGGCCGAAACGTCGTGAGAATTATTTTGTTATGTTTTATTTTTATTATTTTATTATTTCCCTTCTACGTGACTTTACCGAAAGAACCAAGAAGATAAATCCCTGCAGTCACGAAAGCTTTAAATCGAAAAATGCTCCTGGGTTACCAAACCCCTTTCGGCAAGATGCAGTGACTAGCCGTGGTGAAGTGTGGTCAAAGTGCCGCTCTCACAAGCGGCACCGCACGTGCGCGCGAGGCCTGCGCCCAGACATGGAATTTACAAAGAGGCTATAAATGACGATTATGATTGTTGTTGTATACTCTCGGGTCTCACAAACATTTGTGGCTGTAAAATTTCGAATTAAAGCATTCATCTTCTTGGTTCTTTCGGTAAAGTCACGTAGGTAAAGAAAATAATAAATACATAAAATTTCGATTTAAAGCTTTCGTGACTGCAGGGATTCATCTTCTTGGTTCTTTCGGTAAAGTCACGTAGAAGGGAAATAATAAAATAATAAAAATAAAACATAATAAAATAATTTAATTTCGATTTAAAGCTTTCGTGACTGCAGGGATTCATCTTCTTGGTTGTTTCGGTAAAGTCGCGTAGAAGGTAAATAATAAAATAATAAAAATACAATTCTCACGACGTTTCGGCCACAACGCAAGCAGCCGGCTGCTTACGTTGTGACCGAAACGTCGTGAGAATTGTATTTTTATTATGTTTTATTTTTATTATTTTATTATTTCCCTTCTACGTGACTTTACCGAAAGAACCAAGAAGATTTGTGGCTGTAGTTCAAATGGAGATAAATGTGTGCAGCGCTTCTCGACAAAGGGAAGAGTTTGCAAGCGTTGCAAGTCTGTTTCGCCGCCTCGGCCAGTCATGCACGTACACACTTTTTTTTTACATGTGACTATCGTTTTTATCTTGCTATTTTTTTGCCATAAGGAACCACTCGGTGCTTGGCACGGCGTGTGCGGCGCGAGCCTGAACTCGTGATGTTGGCTTCGGTCGAGCACTGCGCCACCGCTCCAATCTCATTGCTGGGCCGGTGTTGGTGGTGGTGGTGGTGTTGTTGTTGGTGGTGGTGACTACACACGTGGCTGCCTGTAATCCAGAGCTGTCGAGGCAGCAGCAGCGAGGGGGTGGTGTTGGTGGATCACCGCACACAGATGTTGACAAACTCCCTTCCCGCTGGCGTTGAACAGGTGGCATACCCTCGCTCGCCAGGAGAAAGCAGTACAGCAAAAGTGGACGCCCATCTGTTCCATCTGTATGGGGATAGAGTGTTGCCCCCTTGCATTTGTGTTGGGTTTTCTATGGGTGCTCCGGTTTCCTCCCCACATGTAAATACTCACTAAATGGCTGATAACACCTCCATGTGTATTTAGAGGTCTGCAGAGCTTGGAGGTGCCGCAGGGATTGAGCGCTGGCTTCCCGCGTGGCTGCGTTCCTGTCTGTGTTGTTCCTACTCCTCGTGCCTCCGAGTCGTCCTCTCTCCCTCTCATTGTTATTCACTCAACTCGTGTCAGACTCGAGCACAAAGCCCTTGGTGTGTGTTTACAAAATAAGAGCCGTTTGCTTATAATCTTTTAATCTTGTGCTAAGAATACAGTGCCTTTCTTACTTATATTTGTGCCTTATGTTGTTCTGTTAAGTTGATATTCTTCTTTATTTTATGCCGTGATGTGTTTTTTATTCGATGCACATGTCGTGAACCCAGGGCTTCCTTGACAGAGATTATTTTTAATTGTTATATATTTTTTTATGACGCTTGTGTACATTTTTTACATTGAGTCTCAAGACTCGTTTTGTTCAGGAGGGTCCTGCCAAATATTTTTCGGTGGGGGGGCGATGTTTCTACGTATGTACGTTGAATTTCTATGTACGTTGAATTTCTTTGTATGTTGTACTTCTTTGCATGTATGATGAATTTATTTCTATGTACGTTGAACTTATTTGGATGTATGTTGAACATATTTGGATGTACGCTGAATTTCTTTCGCACTGTACGTGGCCAACCGTGCTCATCGGACGTGCGGGGGAAAGAAAGAAACTAAACACAAAAAGCAGGTCTCGATAAATGAGTTTTCAATCTATTAACGCCAATTGACTAAGTATCAGGTCTTTTTTTCATCACTGGGATGTGTTTGCCAATACTGGGTACATTTAAGGGTTTGTTAGCAACGGGAGGAAACTTGAGAAGCTGGAAGAAACCCATGCAGAACAGGAGGGAGAACATACAAACTCCAGAGATAATGGATACCCTAGTCGGGAATCAAACCTAGGCCTTCCTTGCCGTGAGACGCAAGTAACTGGTCACTTACACTATGAGACCTCCTTTACCAGTGGCAAAATATAGTAATAGGTTTTTACCCTTTCAACTGGTACAAAAACTGACACCTTTATACAAGGCATCATGTTTGCAATAACCACAACACAAGCAGTCAAAATGCAAACAAAAAGAAACAACAACCAGTTGAAAGGGTAAAAACCTATTACTATATTTTGCCACTGGTAAAGGAGATGTCTCATAGTGTAAATGTTTACCCCGAGCTCTCAATACTCTGATAGTGCGCTGTCTTTGAGTTGTGTACACCATTTGGCGTCATCTGGTCCAACACCAATGGAGACTAGGCTCTAAGAAAAGCTGTCTTGGGTGTGGACCAATCAACTTCAAGGACAGTGCATATCATTATCATCATCAGAGTTGTTTCTTTTTGTTTGCATTTTGACTGCTTGTGTTGTGGTTATTGCAAACATGATGCCTTGTATAAAGGTGTCAGTTTTTGTACCAGTTGAAAGGGAAAAAATCTATTACTATAACTGGTCACAGTGTCACTTGGAAGATGCCTGTGGCTAGTTGGATGTAATTTTCCTTCGTTGGCGTGATTATTTTTTAGTTGGCATTATGGCTTTTCAGTGTCATTGCTATGATCAGCACCTCCGATTATCACGGTTGGCTACGTACGGCGCGTACGAACATACGAGTCGAAGTATTGCGCCACCCTGCCGCCCAAAGTCTAGGTCTCATTGAACTTAAGTGTGGGACTTTCTAACTTAGCACGTCAATGATTCACAAGCGAATCGATGAATTGTCAATTTTGGGGGTCGGGATTTGAATTCAGAATGTAAAATAAATCCGGCCAGTTTTTACCATTTCATCTTTATTGTTCCACTTTTAATTTCAGCATTTTTTTTTTTTACAATTTTGTGGTCCATATTGTTGGTTCTTTTGGTAAAGTCACGTAGAAGGGAAATAATAAAACATGAATCCCTGCAGTCACGAAAGCTTTAAATCGAAAAATGTTGTGGTCGCTTCGTTAGCCTAAGTAAGTGGAACCTTCGCATGTGCCAGCCTACGTTTATTTAATAGCATTTTAGGAACCATTAGTGGCTCACTTTGCATACTCTTTGCACACAATTATTACTCGCGAGTGGTGTAGTGCTGGGTGGGAGATAAAATAATGACATGCCTAATTAGCTTATACATTTTATCTTCTGCATACAATTTGCATAATCGTAACGAATGGATTCTCGCACGCGCAAATTGCATGCCACGAATTAGAAACCTGAGCGATTTCAACTGATCAATCAATCTTTATTTTTTATACATATATGTAAACAAAAATACCTCGAACACCATTCGTCAAGAAGTGAATAACAGCGGGGCGTTTTGAGCAACGGTCTTAGCAGACACTGAGAGCGAGAGAGAGAGGCCAGCCCCGAGTAGATTGAGAATCGGTCAACCTCCCTGTCCTCCCCGTGCTGTGAACACTGCCGATTGGGTCAACCTCGCCGACCGGGATGCAAACTCGCAACCATCGCAATCGCGAGCCGCTCTCGCTCTTACCGCTGAGCCGGCCTGGCCACCTGGCTCACCCAGAGAGAGAGGCCCTCTTTGTGTGGATCCCCTTGGTCGTCTTCCGTCGTCACACTGGGTCAGAGGTCGCAAACGGGTTTTGATTCCTTACCCGTACCCGTACCCGGCCGCACCAGGGTCGCAAACGGGTACCCGTACCCGGCCGGGTACGGGTATCGGGTACCTGACTGCGACCTCTGGGATGAAGCCATGTTGCAGGCGTGGGTGGGTTTATTCTAGGAACTTGAATTGTGAGAAGAGACAAGACGTTGGGAAATGAGTGACAAACGGTTACTCACCAGTGACTCACGGCCTACCCGTACCCGTACCCGGCCGCACCAGGGTCGCAAACGGGTACCCGTACCTGGCCGGGTACGGGTAGCCGGGTATCGGGTAGGGTACGGGTATCGGGTACCCGGTTGCGACCTCTGCACTGGGTTCTACGCGCGTACTCGGACTCGCGAGCGCAAACGATCGACATCGGGCGATGCCATCCGCCGGTTTGAAATCGCGTGGTCGTCGGCGCCGCTGCCCCTGCACCTCCGATTAGCGCGGTTGGCTGCGTATGGCGCGAAGGAAGTTCAACGTACACACCTGCAAGCACCACTAGCTCAGCGTCCCTCTTAGTCTCTCGTCTGCCGTCCCTCTCCGTCTCCCCGCCTTTGCGTAGTTCGAGGCGGAGTTCCGCCGCTTCTCGCTGGCGCGCTCGCGGCCCAGCTGCTACGACGAGTTCTACGAGCTGCTGCGCCTCGTGCACTGCGCGCCGAGCGCCGAGCTGCTGGTGGGCTACGCCGACGTGCACGGGGACCTGCTGCCCATCAACAACGACGACAACTACCTCAAGGCGCTGTCCACCGCCGCGCCGCTCCTCCGCGTCATCCTCCAGCGCAAAGGCGAGTCGGTGACGGTGGTGGGGGTGGTGGGGGAGGGGTGGTGGGGGGGGAGGGGGGGGAGGGGGGGAGTCACTCGGCCCGACGGCAGCATCGTCGTATCTTAAAGCTTTAAAATCGCATCGCATAGTGAAAAAATAATACGCTTTCATGAAAAAATAATATGGTAGAGTGAAAAAAATAATATGGTATAGAGAAAAAATAATATGGTATAGTGAAAAAAATTGTTTGATATAGAGAAAAAATTATATAGTAAAGTGAAAAAATAATATGATATAGAGAAAAAATTATATGGTAAAGTGAATACATATGGTATAGTGAAAAAATAATTTGGTAAAGTGAAGAAAAAAAATATGGTGAAGGGAAAAAAGAATACGGTGAAGTGAAAAAATAATACGGTACAGTGAAAAAATGTTATGGTGAAGTGAAAAAATAATATTGCCCAACGATCCATCCATTCATCCGTTACTCATTCAGGCTCAAAAGGGTGCTTGGCTTCTGAGAATCTGGTGAGATCCGGTGCGTGCTGTACCGGTGATTTGGTCATCGGCCAGTGGCCGTGCTGAGTCACAAAATCCAGTCCGCGGTCACCTTGGCGCCCCTACTAATCCCTTTCGTGTCCAATCCCCGGCCACGATCGCAAAAACAAGAGTTTTGTTTGCAGCTAAAAAGGGACAACTCTTGCTCTCCCGTGTTTAATGGCGGCTTAGAAATGAATCACGCAAGCGTGTTATTTCGGGGGCGAATGTTGCCGAAGCCGCTGTGAGACACGGTGTCTCTCTGTGTGTGTGTGGGTGTAGTTGGACACGACCTCCAAAGAGTAGCCTGGCACGTTATGTAAACATTAGCCAAGAGGGAGATGACGGCTGCGGCTGTTGCTGGCCACCCCACCCCCGGCCTTCATAGGTGTTCGCAAACAGCACTTGCCCCTGCAGTCTGTTAAGGCTACATGGGGGGGTCTTTGTCTTTTTGTGGGTGTGAAGCTAACAGCACTTGCTCTAACAGCCTGTTAAAGACTTATGTGGGGTATCTTTGTCTTTGTAAAGCAGTGTTGACTTTGGCGAGGTCCGATCCGTGACCCTCCCCTAGGTCAACTCAGCCTTAAATAGTAATTGGGGAGACAACGGTGGCCGGGCGTGGCAATGGCCACTCACCTCCTTTGTGTGCTGTGCTGGCCTTAATAGGTGCTAGCTAACAGCACTTGCCCCAAACAGCCTGTGAAAGGCAAATATGGGAGATCTTTATAAAACAGTGTGTCCGTGCGGGGTGCGATTGCAACAACGGTTATCGCGCCGCGCTACGAACCCAATAACCTCGGTTTGATTCCCGCTCACGGCCAAGAAACTGCGACGAATATCTGAACCGGTTCTGGGCATCTGCCACGTCAACCGAGCCTTAAATTGAGCGCCTGGCGCAAAGCGTCGTCGTCATTCAAGAGGCGCCGCACGGTCACGTCACGAACCCGCTCGCTTGCGCGATCCACCAACCGTGAGCTGCCGCTGTCGCCGCTCGACGTTAAGTTTTTTTGCGACGACTCTGTCGTTGGCCTCGCCGCCGCGCGCCGAACAGCAACCTCCTTTGTGTGCGCGGTCAAGTTGTCTCGGTGGCAGCACGCCGACGCTTCGTTGTCATCTTTCGGAATTCAATAAACCTTGTTGCTGGGTGACGCGATGGGGCTCGTAATTGGCCGTGTCCGGAGCCACTGAGCTGGCACCGTCAATGCGGCTTTCGGTCACCACTCCCCCCCGCCGCCCCCGTTTTCCGCAATTAAACCCGAGAGGTTGGAGCGAGTCGATGAGAAAAGAAAATGCAGTTGCGTTAAATTTTTTAAAATAAACCGTAAAGTTGGAACGTGAACGGCAACGACGGCACATACCTGCAACGCTCGCATCTCTCCCTTGATCTAGAAAATCTGGACACCGTTATTTCCGTTTTAATTATAGCCCCGACTTGGTTGAGATGCTGTAATATATAATAATTATTATTTCCGAGTCCCCCTTTTGTCAAATCGATCTTGGTTGCAGGGCCTCACGCGCACTCGCGTTGCCGCTTTAGAGGGGTACTTTGACTATACTTAACGACAGCGGGTCAGTGCATCTTTCCGAACGGGGTTTGGTAACCCAGGAGCAGTTCAGATGTCACTCCACACGCATGTTAGCTCTGGCCGGGTATCGAACTGGGGATCTGGAGGTGGCGGCTGGGGTGGTAACGGTGGTGCGATGGTTCGTGCGCAGTGCTTAAATCCCGGCCACCTGTTTTCGATTTTTAGACCACCGCTAACATCAGTGGCGAGTTATATCTGAACCAGTTCTGAGCTAGAAGAAAGCCCTTTGACTGACACGGTTTACAGAGGCCTTTATGCAGTAGTGATTTTAAAGAGCTTTAAGTTATTAATGCGTGTGCTTATCATTTTTATTTTTACAAAGGAGAATGTAAATTATTTGTTGTTGTTAACATTATGCAAGTTTTTATTCACGTTATGTGTTACAAGCCAATAAAAAAAAACACATGACAGAGAGAGGGTTTAAAATTCCTCCTCGTTTCAATCTCACGAGCAAAGCGTTTACCCTCGGCTCGCTGGAACGGATAATCTGGCGCTGGTGATGCTGCCGAGAGAATAGTGATAAAATGTTTTGAGACGTTACAGACATCCCCTTATCTCGTGTGCAATATATTTACCCCGCTTGTTTATCGTCAAATGCCAGAATTCCTGAGATCATGGAGTTCTTGCTTAGCTCTTGGGCAGCTGCGTCTCTCGTCGTCAGCACTTCTCAAGGGGGCTCGCTCTTCTCTGATGTGTCCGACGTTTCACTCCGCGGTGCTGGGAACTTCTTCGGTTTCCCCCCCCGCCCGCCGCCCGCCCGCTCTACGTGTGGCGCGAAACGTCGGACGTCGTCCCGGACAACACCGCGCGGTACTAGCCGGAAGCACGCCGGGTGAAGCCACGCGCCGCAAAGCAGGAATGAGACTAATCCTCGTCCATTTTTTTTTTTTGCTCCTGTCCTGTTGAAACAAAGTCAACTTGAAAGTTTGCAACGGCGAAAAACCGCCGCGACGACAAACTAAAAACCCCCGCTGATTGTGGTCGCACCCCCACTCACTCGCGGCGATTCGGAGAAGCGGGGGGGGGGTGTAGGGTTAGAGTTCGATTTGAGAGACGTCGTTTTTGTTTGCTTGTCGTCGTCTAATTTCGACAACTTTCCAACTCGCGCTAATTAACGGCGTCGATGGTCCCCTTTGGCTCCATCCGTCCGTCATTGGGGGTCATGGGTAACGCCCGTCCAGTGCAAGCCAATAGACGAATGAGACTTTAACATGAAGTTGCGTCTCTCTGTTTTAATCTAAGCAGAACACGGTACTGTGTATGTGTGTGTGTGTATATATAGTGGGGAGCGGTAGTGTAGCGGTTAGCGTGCTGCGCTACGAACCCGGCGACACGGGTTCGATTCCCGTTCACGGCAAACACGTGGTGACGATTATCTGAATCGGTCCTGGGCCTCCCCAAGGTCGACTCAGCCTCAAATTAGTACCTGGTGCGGTGTGTAAACATCGCCACTAAGGAGGCAAAGGCGGTCGGGCGTGGTGCTGGCCACCCACCCCCCTCGTGTACCGTTCCGGCCTTCATAGGTGCTCGCTAACGGCACTTGCCCCTACAGTCTGTTAAGGCTATATGGGGGATCTTTGTGCATATATTTAAGGTTTAAAATAGGCGATGTTTCTAAAATAGGCGATGTTTCTAAAATAGGCGATGTTTCGGCAGTTGCTCTTGTTGTATTTACAACCACACTGGCTGGCTGTTTATTAATTCTCTCCTTTTCATTGGGGGGTGAGGTTGCGGGGTGGGTGGGGTTGCAAGGTCGGGAGTTGCGGGGAGAGGGCTGAATTTAAAAGTGGCAGGTTAATGACCAGAGTCTCAGTTTTGCTAAAGTTTCCCGGATATTAGTCTGCAAATCTAGTTGAGCATTACCCCCGCTTCCCTGCTAGAGCACCAATTTCCGTTGGCAGCTCCTGAGCAGGTGATTTAAGTGAATCGTTGGGTTGTTCTTAATTTAGAACTCTCAGGGAGGGCGTGAAAGCATTGGCCAATTTAACGTCTCGTCTCCTATTCACGGAGGCCTGGTGTCACACAACAACAACCCCCATTCGCCACTAAGTTGCGGTGACGTCACCACGGCGCTTGTGCCAGGCCATGTGCACGTTAAGACCACGTAAAGTGTCGAACGCCCGCCGGCAGGAGGTCACGGGGCAGACCCAGGTACCACGGGTCGACTGACCGAGACGACTGGTCAATGCACCACCTGTGCCCCCTTATTGTGCTGTGTTTTAGCCGCCCGGCGCTCCGCTCGTTGTTGTGGTGTCACACAGGCACACATACGCACACGCGGAGGCCTGGTGTCACGCAAGCAGCGCATTACGAGTCGCAACGAGGATGAAAGATCACGGCTTGCGCACCGATTCCGTCGGATCTCCCCACGTTTTCAATTGGCTCTCACGGGGTTGGGGGGAGAGGCGAGAAAACAACGTTTGGATGTTTGCAGAATTATTATTTCATTCACTGGCTTTTTATTGGAAAGTATACTTGTCGAATACCCCCTCCCCGGCCGGTATTCATGAGGCTGAAGTTACAAACGGGCGAAGCAACTTTATACTGAAATTGCGTTGGGTATTGGATCATCGTTGTGAGCGTTCTATCAATAGCCCTCCACCCCCACCATGGAATTTATTACTCCATTCTTTGGAATGTATTCTTTAACGGTGATTTATGTTTGTCCATTATTTTTCACTTTTCAATACGGATTTATATGCTCGTCATTGGGCCGTCACTGTTTTTTTGCCTGTATCTTTCTGCTTTTTGTTCTTTTGGGGACCTGAGTCACTCACAAATGAGACTATTCCAGCAGCGTCACCGGTATTGGCCAAACATCCCGATTCTGAAACGTTCCCTTGCATATTACTCGACTGGCATTGCACCGGAGCCATTTGCAGGCGATCATAATTCCTTG